TTGTTGTTGCTGTTTTACTGATAAAATATGTAATAACGCTGCAGCTTTGACTCGGAAATCATGCCACACTTTAAAGGCCTTTCCTAAGCCAGGTTCACAGTTGTCTTTTCCATTAGACTTGGGTTATTGGATGTGTTGGATTGGAATTTAATGGTGTCCACGTATGTGTGTTCACACTTGACTCTGTGACGTGACATTCACACGTGATCACATGTCACAGTAACTCTGCAGCATGTGAGCAAAGATGGCACTTGGTGCATCGAGGAGTCTTCTTCCTTTCTGTAGATGTTGACTGCGGAGGTGGCGGACGCCATCTTAATTCTGCTATGTGGAGGAATAAGCAGCAGTTAAAGGTGCTTCACGGCGACACGGTGCTCAAAGGCCAATTTATACTAGTAAACACGTCCTGTCTCGTTCTCCTTGTGACTGCTGACTTCACTTCGTTATTCAACCAAGACCACCCGCCTTCCTGATCCTCAAACATGAGTTATGTGATACATTAGCATAGCTCCTGTCCTGATCTGATCCTCAACTGATGCCAAACTGATCCTAAGCTGATTCCGCACTGGTCCCAATAGGATCGGTCTTCAGGGCATATTTTAATGGATTCTATCCGCTAAAATAAAACCAGTCAAATCCTTTCTTGTCTGATCTCTGATGTGTTTTGTCCTCTTCAGCTTGCTAATGTTGCAGCGCCGCTCTCCTTTACGGCGGTCAGCTTCTACAGTTCAGCATTCATGTAGTTCACCGGTTAAACTGACAAACGTCTCCAGCAGCGTCAGATCAGATCCGCTGTCACTAATTCATGTAAATGCTGTGAGACACATGATGACGGAGCAAAAGTAAACTGCTCAGTTTGTGTCTGAACTCGACCAAAGATCCCCTGTGAGGGAAGAAGCTCCACTCTGTAACAGCTTGCTGATCTCACGTCAGTTTCTCCAGTCAGTCTTTCATTCATATCAGATCACAAACTTTTTATCAATCTTTATTATTTTGATCAAGTAGCTTAAAAGTGTTAGATTCTGTATCTACACTTGCAGATGTTGTAAATGTGTCAGATACATATTTTTGATCAACAATTAAGTAAATGTAAGTATTGGATGGGACTAAATATTAAAGGACTCGGCTCTTGATCTTGATCCTGATATTTTTAAGGCAAACAAATCAAATACATTGGCAGTGAACAGTTTGCAGATAAGTTGAAGGAAAACCTCAAAGGAGAGAATTTATCACAGGAGGCACACGAACTGAAGAGAAAATGCTCTGTCTTGTCTTGTTAGCTGACCATCTGTCCCTGGAATGTATTTTACCCAACGAGCAGAGAGCTATTACATACTTTCATCTGTTCTCCGTCAGTTTAATTCAGCCCACTTAAGCTCCACTTAAGATTTTATCAGCTTGTAGTCACACTAGCTTGTTATCAGTAAACACTACTATCACGTGTACACAGCTCCACTGATTCAGGATCAGCTGGTCTGGTAGTGTCCATGTGATGCATCGTTTTCCTCTCAGGCACTTACCCTACCTCTGCAAATGTCTATTAGACTTGACAAGTGTGTCAGTGAAGTCACTGCTTTATGCGTTGGATTGATGTAATGACTGCACTACCAGGTTTTAAATCTATGCAGTAACCTTGATTCACTACTGTGCTGAACTATATGCGGGTAAAAGTACCAATAGTGACCAATCAGCAGCACTAACAATGTAAATAAATGTGAATACATCCACAGACATTGACGAACATTTATTTTCCCCTTCTAATTTAACCTGGCACCTGTTACACAGCAACTCAAACCTGCACCCGACACCACTGAAGCTCTGCAACGTGCTGATTGGTTTATTGTCTGGACCGGAACAAAATAGATGTACTGGCATGGACAGACTGGAGACAATGGGCCCCTGGGTACAGACATATAAAAGGTCGTTTGAAGTATCTTTGTATTTGTGACCATTTTGCAACTGTCTTGTCCTGCATAGTCACTCAGATGCACCAATCGATCGGCTGCCGACTGGAATTGGTGGTTTTCAGCCGTGACCGGTGACCGGTGACCGGTTCCGATCAATCTCACATATTCGATTTTGAGCTGGTTACTTATACTCGCATGCTGTGCTGAACGATGTTTCAGACATTAACAGCCTGTGTGAGAGATGGTGACAAAATAAGCTTGTTGGACCGCCAAGGTATATTAGCAGCTGCCAAAGTATATTTGGCAGAGAAACAGAGAGCGAGAGAGAGACATTATCGGGCCAGATAGACAAGCTCGGACAGTGAACACACCTGTTGGTACCACTTTGGTTTAGACTGGTTGTGTTTCTTGGACGACTTTATGAAACTGCTGATGAAGAAAGTCAACCAAGCAGAGAGAGAGAGAGAGAGAGAGAGAGAGAGAGGTGTAGATGTGTGTCTGAAGGGAAAAGCAAGGTGAGCAGATTAAAGCAGTATGTGGGGAAACACTATTAAAAAGCTGGAGAATTACATAGATTTTAAAATGGTGAGATAAGAAATAACCTGCTACAAATAAGGTAACGTAGTCTTTCAAATATTTTCAAATAATACAGAAATATTTGTATGTAAGTGTCTCCACAAAAGTTACACTGTGATTCTCTGGGAAACACTGAGGGCCTGATTTACTAACACCCCGAAGAAAGAGTACTAAATTGCGCGTGCGTTCTAAAATATTGCACGTGTCATTGTCGCACCTGTTATGGCTTATCAACTAAGAATTACTGCGTAGCCTACAACAGATGCAAACGCAACAGAGGTGGTCGTATTTAAATGAGTGTTTTGCGTGTTTTAATGGTTTCCGCCATGGAGAGTCGGGAGGGAAAGCAGCCACTGCGTAAAAACCTCGGTTTGTTTCATTCAGTGCGTCCTGAGTATGTGGAAATCGTCTGTACCTGCCCGTCCTGCCCGTCCTGCCTGAGATTACACTAAGTACTTGGGACAGCACACCTGAAAAACTTCTTTGTGAAACCCCAGCAGAAACAGATACAGTGTGCTGGAATGACCCAGATGAGAGGAAATGCCAGCAGATCGTGCTTCATCCAGCCAGAGTCATGCGACCATGACGACTGTTATCACAGCCAGGAGCGCTAACGAACCAGCGGTATCGACGATCCTAGTTAACGATCCCACAGAGGTGTCATAGCTTAGTTTCCCTACCAGTCAGTCAGAACTGAAAAAGTCTCTTGGATGAGGGATGAAACGTCTTCTAGCATCTTCAACCAAGTCTAGTTGCCCTTGACCTCAACCTTCGTTGGATAATACAACAGTATTGCCAAAGCTAAAGAAAAAATACAAAAAATTCTTAAAGTTCATTGAATGAATAAAATAAAATAACTGTATTTCTATATATTGGATATAAAATGATATTATCTAATATTTTTAATTTCTTTACATCTTATTTCATTACGGCTGTGTCTCCTTCTCGCTACAATAACAGCAGCCATCTCTGCACAACACTTTCCTTTCAAAAGTATTACATACAGAAATGTATTACAGAAATTGCGTTTAGGCTTGTTAGATCACATTGCATGTAGTAAATAAATGTATTTGCATGTTACCCTCCCACTACTTGAAAGACCCCAAATTGCATATTCATTAAGACAAAAGTACTAAATTAAAAACAGGTGCTATCTAACACTTTTGGAAGACGTCATTTTGCATGCACACTGTTAGTAGATCAGCTTACGTGTTAATTTGCTGGTGATATCAAGTTTGCACACGTTTTTACTCAAGCAAACCTTTAGTGAATCTGGTGTTACCTCACATGACTTATGTAATGTCCTTAATACTGCATTGTGTTTTCAGTTGTATTTTATTTGAACAGAAGCTTGGACATGTGTCTGAGTGAAAGAAGGTCCAGTGACCTGCTGCACTTTGGGTTATTTAACTAAGTTTATTATTTAATAATAATGTTTACTTATGAACATACAGTTGAAAGGACGCCAGGAAGAACAGCCAGTGCTTCTGCTGGTGCTGATGGGGATCCTAATAAAGAAAGGAAGAATTTTACATTAAAGAAAAGTTTGTGTATGCTGTCAGTTATAGTTCTTAGAAAGAAATCAATGCTTCTATAATCTCTTGTGTTCGTTAACACCTAGAAAAAAACCCGCATATATTTTAAATACAAGTTAGAGTTCCCATATGGCTCCAGAACATCCAGGACTGCGCCGCCACAGATGGCTGACTAAACATTTGCATCATCACATTTCTTTGTGTTACTCTCCATCTCTAGTCCCAGGCATATCTGATGTGAAATCTTTCCTTTGGTTCTTATTTAATCATCATAGCGGCGTGTCCTTAAATATATAGAGAACACATTTGTTGCCTACGCCACCTATCAAGCCACCATCAAAATATCAGTATTTGATTATTTTCCAAAGGCCATAACCCAGGGCAAAATAAGTCCAGGGAGGAAGGCAGTCTGCTTCCCATGATGCCACTGTTATCAGGCTAAAACTGATTCTAAGTCAGGTCGCTCAGTTATTGTAATGTTTGGAAAGGATTTGTCTTACCTTCTTGACTCCTATATTTATTTTCAGATGTAGATTGAGATTTAGTTAAATGAAAATCATGTGTATTTCCCTGCAAGTGCACCTGCCTGCCTCCCAAACCAACAGATAAACACACCATGAGAGAGGAGAGGACAAAAAACACCCGTTGATCACTGAGCTAACAAAAGGCTACAAGCTATAAACGATATGTGCGATTGGTAATAAATACAAAATATATTTGAAAACATTTACATGTTGAATGAAGCTGTACTAATTCATAGTGATTGTGGCTGCAGTGATTATAAAAACATTTGTATTTAATAATAATATCACCAGCAGTAACACAGAGTACCAGGTCTCCTCGTCCACTCAGCTCAAACACACATCTGGAAATGTTCAATTAATCCTTCAGCAGATGGATTCTGATATACAACAGTGTTAAAACGGCTCTGAGGTTTCTGTCCGTGGCTGTACATTCGTTTTAATCTTCTCTTTTTGTTCAGATTCGTCTTTGTCAAAGGGGAGCCCCTGCTCTGAAGCGGGGAAACCCTGTAACCCCTGTCTGGACGCAGCGAAGGCCTGTAACCTCAACGAGACGTGTAAACGCCTACGATCTGCCTACAACTCCATCTGCAGCAAGGCCACGCCCCCTCAGCCCTCTCTGGCCAATCAGGAGCCGTGCAGCCGGAAAAGATGTCAGAAGGTGGGTGCAGAAATGTCTTTAGTTTAATCATTGATGATTTATTATTGCTTTAATGTTAAATACTAAAGGGTTTATTCACTGGAGCTATTTCAGAACAGCTATACACTCAAGGAGGAAGAATATAAATAAAATAATGTTAAATAATGCTGGCACCTCAACAAAACATGTTGGAGTAAAACATGTGTCCCTCCTCTGACAGGATTACTGCTGTAAAGGGATTAAATAAATCCATAAGTGTGTGATTGGCTGATGCACTGGCTCTGACCTGCTGTGAGAAGAAAAAACAGGAAAAACACAAATTTAAGTTGAAGAACAATCTTTCAGAAAACCCACTTATTGCGTAGCGTTAGCTTCCAACAAACAGAAACTGCTCCAGGTCTTTAGTGAACTAAACTCTAAAGCCCCTCTCACAGTGGACAAAAAAACAGCTAACATCCTGCTTAAATAAACTGAACAGGGAAAGATGTTGAGGAGTCAATCGTCTATTTTTAGGTGATTTCTAGGGTTTAGAAGTGCGGCTCAGTGTCTTCATCTGGAACGTAGAGACTTGCTTGTCCTTGAAATCTCACAGGGACATCTTTTATTTATGTAAGTTATTCACAAAACTGGTCCAGAATTACACAGACTGCAAAACGATGCTAATCTTTTTGTGTGTTTTCGGAGGATTTTAATAAATGCATTGTGACATTAAAGACAGGTTTAGAGTAGAGTAAGTGTAAAGAGACACCAAACCACTGATTACATTTTCAATTTCAATTTACAACTCTGTTACACAGAGATGGATAAATTGATAGACTTACAGTATACATACACACATAACAAGTTAAATATATATTACATAAATAGCCATTTAAGACTCATTATGTGGAATATGTTTTTACAGAAACTAAATACTGTAATAATAATAATAACAAAATAAATAAATACTGTAAAACTTAGAATAGCCGAGTCCCAAATTGCCGCCTTTCCTATTTCCTGGCCTGGTGTGGGTCCACATTTTGACAAATAAACGCCTGTCTCGATTAGACACCTGGACCTCCTAAAGTCCGCCGGTTTGCCTGCTTCTAGCTGCTTCTAGCTGCTTCTAAGCTGCTTAGATCGTGAATACAAATATAAATATTTAAGCTTCTGTCAGTATGGACATGCTGCACCTCGTTAGATCAGTTAGATTCTCCACAATTCACTCGTTCAGTTTACTTTACGGAAACATGAGTCCCAAAGTCTAATTCCCTCAGATTTACCAGCATAGTAAACGTGCCGACTCCCGACCTTTGAAGCGCCATAGTCTGTCCGTTCCTCGATTATTTGTATTTGTTTCGTCTGTAAGGGTCCACTGATCAAAAGAAACAAAACAGCTTTTCATAAAAATGAATCCTGTCATCGCTCACTGCTAACTTCTGCCACACTTCTCTCATCCTGCACCTGATGTTGGGTGTGCTTGTTGTGCTGCCTACAAAATAAAACCGACTAAGCCGTCTGTCGGAGCTAGATCAAATGAATGATCATACTGGTTGAAACTGTTTCATAGTGGCCTATTTCAGTCTTGTGCAGAAGGAATTAAAGGCCTGTCCTATATGTAGGCAGTGTCTAGGCAGTGATTTTAGCAAATAAAAGGCCGGGCTATTAATTTAAGTTTTACAGTAGATTTAAACCCAAAAGCAACTGATGGAGAGGCTGCAGTATAAGGATGAGCTGCTTGAATATAAGTTTTAGTTTCAGAGTATCTTCGCGGAACCTTAACATAACTAAGAAGGATTCCACATTTCCTGCAGTACTTCTGCAGAGGGAAAAAAACCCTTTATATGTGGCCACTCAGGGTCTGTGAGCGATGAAGCACACGCTGACATTCATTGTTGTGCAGAAGACCTCCTGTTCGCATCACGGCTGTTTGAATCCACTCACAAAGCATCGAAGGGGTTCAGAGTAGTGAACATCCTGACCAACGAAAAGAATACAACCATTAGCCAGTTCAGCAACTCACTCATTAGTGTTTTCTCCTCTGTGCATCTCCAGCAGGTAGGGTCACCTTTCAGCTTCATGATAACATCGTACAGTGACATCTTTTATCTGCAGAAATATCATGGCAGGGAGAAAATGCTTCTCTGCTCCTGAAGAAAACTGATTTATGACCTCTCGAGTCTTTTGTCATGAGAATATGAGCGCTGCACAGTGCAGTAACGTAACACTAGCGATGCATCTGTAAAATCTAAAAGCTTATTTAAGGCTAAAAGGTTATTAACATTTCATTGTCTACTCCCTCGCCCCATTTGTACTGAGCAAACGTTTTAGCTGTTACTGTGGCTGCTAACAGCTAAATGTAATTTCTCTTCCTCGCCTTCATTTTTACATAAACCATCCTCTGTATTTAAGCTCTGACCTTTGCACAGCTACTGGTAATTTCTTGTGATATGGTGGAAAGAAATGAGTGATAAAAAGATGATTAACTCTCAGCACTATGTGTGTCTCAGGCCCTGCGTCAGTTCTTCGAGCGGGTATCATGGGAGTTGAGTTACCCTCTGCTGTTCTGCTCGTGCCCGGACCAGGCGTGTGCCGAGCGCCGCCGCCGCACCATCGTTCCCTCCTGCTCCCACCAGGAGAGGCACAAACCCACCTGCCTGGAGCTCAGACGCACCTGCCGCTCCGACGCTCTCTGCAGGTGAGACGCGTGGCCTTCGTCAGCCAATCGGGTGTGATCGTTACCTGCGTTTTTTTTTTTCTCACAAAAAACTCTGGAAATCTCTTCAGCTTCATGCAGCTTGTTTCGCTGATTATTATCAAGCAGGAGGAGGCACTAATCAGTGAAATCAGCTGCTGAAGTGTTTAATTGGTGATAAATCTAGCACGTTGTTGGGTCAAAATTGCATGTTTGATTGATAAATAGTGGGCTTAAAGGTTAGAGAAGCTTGAAGTGGGGGAAGTGAATGAGCACTCGCTCCCTGCCTCTGTGACTTCAGACGAGGTGCCCTTGAGAAAGGAGAAGCGCCGGGAAAAAGCTCACGCGTGATTGGTTGAGTTTCCATGGATAAATATATGTTGAATGCAGGGAAGGTTTCTGTGGGGGCAGATTTGAAGATCAGGTGGGAGGAAGTTCAAATGAGGGCTACTGCAGAGAAGCAGAAGGAATGTGTGAAATATCGGGCCCTTATTAACACCTAGAACCCGTGGCTTCATGTCCCACAGGGAGCGTTTTGCCTGCCTGACTGGCTCAGATGTTGTTGATTTGGTCATTTTTCTGTGATTTCTGTGCCTTTACCATGGGTACGTAGGCTACGTAGTGAAATGGTTTCCTTTTTTGTCTGTTTTATTTGTGTTTATTGTTAGTATAAAATCAGGAATCAGCACAGAGTGTTTTAATTTGAAAATTGACTGGATTCTAAATGCTATTTTTGTGTCTGACTTCCTGTGGCCTGTCCTACGGAGCGAGGTAACTGTTTTATCCAGGTTACTTCAGGAGTAACTTCGTGACGTCAGGTGTAACTTTCCAATTAACCCGGATTACGAAAGGTTGATAGGTGTTACCGCAGGTCTGCTGCCATGGTGATTTCCATCTCTAAACTGCTCAGAGCAGGTTATCTTCGTGGTTAACTTGAGGTTACTTTTGTATACATGCCTACACACCACATCTGTACTCGGTGTTAATGAGAACTATTAATAGCCTACAACGTCATTGAATAGTTTTAGATTTCATCCTTGTTGCAGCTGAAATGAAATCAACAGCATTACATTCAGACAGCGAGCCCTGCAGCCTCGGTGATTTAGGGAGGAGATCTTTGTTCATTAAGCAGGCATTTTCTGAGATGTAGCCCTTTAAGACTGACTTTTATATGTGTCCAAAAAATAAAGAGACACGGGGGGGGGGGGGGGGGTAATAATCTGAGAAGAATTCTCCTAGATTAAAGTCCTAAATTTACAAACACAAAACTCAGAAATTCCCTGAAATTAAAGTCACAAAAATTCACTCTGGTGTTTTCATCTGAATTTGTCCAACTCACGTCTCTGTAGTCCCAGTTCATATGATAATATGGTGACGTGGGCTAAAATCACAAGTATTTCCTCACTGCCAAATTGGATTATAAAGTAGGCTATAATATCATTTTCCACTGCATCTTCAATACACAGCAGAGGGGTGTGTGTGTGTGTGTGTGTGTGTGTGTGTGTGTGTGTGTGTGTGTGTGTGTGTGTGTGTGTGTGATGTTGCAGCCTTGCAAACTGAAGCGATGTGGTTCCCCCAATATTTTTCTTTCATAAATGTATGACTATAATTTCAGATAATATATAATATATATAATTTCTTGTGGATTTCCTCTGTAGAAACAATAGAAATACTACATACTATAATACATTCTTTTAATACATAAAATAAAGAACACGTAATGAATTTCTTACAATAGACATAATAACCACGAGTTAAACCTGAGTAGATTGAACTCCCGTCATACTTTGGGGCTCTGATCTGTGCAGCTTGACACAATTTCTGTCAAATATAAACTAGCCACGTAGTCTCCACAGATCAGAGCGAGAACCGCTTCTGGGCCACAGCTGTGCCTGGTGGAATCAAGGCTTTAGCGACGTGATGCTCAGGCCCTTTTTTTGCTCAGGGAGTTTTTTGGGAGGAAGTGATGTGGGAGCACACCTGTCACACCTTTACACAGGCTGACATGATCCCGTCTTTGCCTTCTACTACCAAAGAGTGGCCAACATGAAGTGACGGATGATGTAAAGTGTTGGACTGCAACAGAAACAGGAGACACGCGGGTCAATTAAATAACACAGTACTTTATTTATAACAAAATAAGCAAAACCAACCAAAACCAATGTGTGGGAGGAAACTGTAAAGTCAGTCGTGGAGGGAGCGGATGAGTGAAAGTGTGCTGCATGGATGTTGTGCTGTAAAAACAAGGAAAAGGAAACCAAACCAGCTGTGAGGTGAGGAGGTCTGTGCAAGGACTGGCTGCTGCTGTGGCTTATATGCATGAGGCACACCGGGCCCAGGTGTGTCCCATGCTGCTTATCACCCTGCCAATCAGGTCTGCAGCCCTGGAGACAAAGAACAAATCAACAGCAGTGTGAACTGAGCAGAAGGGCCGTCACAATTGTAGCATATTAAAGTACTTGGTTGAGTCTGGCCCCGCAACCCCGTACGCAGGATAAGCGGTTGACGATGGATGGATGGATGGTTGAGTCTGGTGCTGCTGATGATGAAGCGACAAACAATGTGAAAAGCTCTGCGGCTGATCTGTTCTTCCACTTTTTATTAAATGAGGTGGAACAGAACTTTGTGTATTTATAAAAGAAGATCAAGTCAGAACCTCAAAGACCCACATCAGCACATTACTTAGTTAACGCTAAGCTGAGTTACAGTAGTTTGTTACTGCACCTCCAGCCCCAGGTCACGCCTTTCTTTGATATTAAGCTGAATATCTTTGCGTTTTGGATTGTTGGTCGGATGCCATCTTGAGTCCAGGGAAATTCACAGACATTTGTCAGTATTTTCTTACATTTTACAGACACAATTGCTAATGCAGATCAATCAATAATAAAAATAGTTGTTGGCTGCCGGCCTAATTGTGGGTAGAGGTTAGATTATGGAGGATGTTTCAGACACAATTGAGGAGTGAGGAGGTTGAAAGACGAAAAAGCTTACACATTCAGTCTGTACATCACATCGGATCATTTCAATTCACTCACCCAGTCGTGGTGGTGATGCTGTTCTCCTGCTGCACACTTTCAGTATTTTCGTCTGTACAGTCTCGTAGTCAAGGCCGAGCTTACAGAACTGCTCAGATGCTGTCTTTCTCTGAAGTTTGAGCGTCTTCAGCAATTAGAGAGCTAAATGTGACTAATGATTTTTTTGCCTCTCACAGCGTACAGTAACTCTTCACCTTGAGAGAAGTGAGCGTGTGTTTCTGTCGGTAAAAGCACGGAAGCACAAAGGATGGGCTTTAATTGATTTCTTTCAAAATTCTCAGACGTACATCAGCATGTAAAAGCTGTGTGGGCGTCAGGGTCAAACTGTATGATTTTCTTTCCATCAGTAATAATGAGCAGTGTTAAGCAGTCAGATTACTTTTTTTTCAGAAACAAGTAGAGTACATGGAGTACAACTTTAAATTCAGTTATTACTAAAACGGGTTGTGTTGCGATTCCACAGTTTCATTGTGAGGGCATGGTGGTGTTTGAGATGAGACCGCGTTGTGCTGTTTGCGGTCACGTGAGCGAATGTTAAGAGTCCTCCACAGATTCATCAACGCAGTCCCGTAACATCGTCAGACTCACGATGGACAGTTAAGAAAAGGATGTAAATCGATGCCTCGAACCAGATATCGTCTATCTATTTATTCCACACGTTCTGCTTTCTTGTCAAAACCTGGTGCCTACGTTACCCACAATGCAACTCGACTGCCGACAGCTGGGTGTGAAGTCATGGATGTATAAAGGGAGCTGGACACAGCGTTGGAGGCGGGGCTCTGTTCCTTCCTGTGAAAGCTGCTCAGTGGCGCATGAAGCCAAAAAAGTTTAACATCCCGGGTCTGAAATTACACCGATAATCCACATTGTGCCGAGCGGCTGACTTTCCTTATTTGAATGGGGACAATATGATTAAATAATTTTAATCAATTTTACTAATTTAAAAGTTTGAAAATGTGAGATATGTGATATCAGTAAAAAGAAGTTTAAAAAAGAAGCAGTCAGAGAGGTTTTAAACAAACTTATCTGGACAAGCAAATTAAAATTATTATTATAATTATTAATTTTTAATTATTATTATTATTAAGACCCACTTCCTGCCTTAATTTGGACCTACCGTACAGTTACACTTTACATTTGTATGAAGTGGTACACAAATAAGGTTCAATCCGAGCCACAGTAGATCGAGGAGAAGCCAGAGGTGGGACCAAGTCATCGTTTTACAAGTCCGAGTCAAGTCTCAAGTCTTAGCACTCAAGTCCCAAGTCGAGTCCAGACCGATCATGAGTGGCAAGTCCGAGTCAAGTCTCAAGTCAAGGACCAACAAATCCAAGTCCAAGTCTTAAACTTTGAGTTTTGAGTCCTAAACAAGTCATAATGTGCTCTTCACCAAATTTAAAAACCATTTCAAAAGTTTTTATATGTTAAAAATAAAAAAATATGTATTGAATGAAGCATTAGCCTGTACAGAAAGAAGGTAGAGGTGCAGTTTCACACAACAGATGTTCTTTAATATCATGAATTAAATTAAATGTTCATGTAGGGCTGCTAATTATCTTGGTCAATAATGAGATCACAATTATTTAACAGGATTACTCATTGCCTTAGGAAACATTAAACTATTGAACTTCTAAAATGTGATACTTTCTTTTTAAAAACTATTATATGCATTACTCCAAAATCTCATATAGCCCATGAAATATGAAATAAGAACATTATTAACTTTAAGCAGCATCTATAGTGCAAAAGGTAGCAGCACATTTTCAGCTTTGGGTGAGTGTGTGTGTGTGTGTGTGTGTGTGTGTGTGTGTGTGTGTGTGTGTCTGTGTACACAGAGGGGAGCAGAGCAGGTGACAGGTGAACTACTCGAGTTGACGAAGTTACTTACAGAACGCTGAAATAGAACCGTGGTGTTTTGTCGGGAGATGCAGTGACAGAAACCAGCAGTGAGAAAACTATAAATCGCTG